GAATGGCCATTTCTGGTTTATTAGCTGTCATCAGCCAGTCATACCCAATCTCAAGGATTGGAACCCCCGAGCTTCGAACGCAGGACCCCTGGTAATTGAGTTTGAAACTCCACTATGGGCTCGGCGCTTTGTCGGTTTTGATCGGGAATATGATGGAACTGGAGTGTTCATCCGATTTATCTGATTAGTGAATATACTTATCGCGTTGTCCCTTGAGGCTCGTACCTAAGTGATCGCAGCCAGTGGCTTAGAGACTTCAGACATATGATGGAGTGCGACCGACAACGAAAAAGGAGACAGGAATAGCCAGCTGCGGTCGCCCCTGCCTTTGTCGGTTCCACTCAATATTAATATTTTGTATGAAGAAAGGAGGCTCTTAAATGTTCAAGCAGGCAACACCTGCCCGTCGTCAGGCAAATGGAAAGTGAGCCGGGGATTATTGCGCTAGAGGGTTTGGGGGCAGAAGTTACATCGAACAGGGGGATGGGCTGCGGCGGTTAGGGTGACGCGAATCATGACGTGCAAGCGAGAAGGGGCAGGCCACGAGCCGGAGGGTGCAGAATTAGTGAAGTTCTGCTCGAATGGAACCGCAGTTTTCGTTTCACACTTTGCGCAGGCTAGTTAGCCATGCACGCAAACCTGCGTAATGTGAGTCGAGATCTAGGTGCCTGTTGATGCTGTTTGGATCGGAATTCCAACCTTCGAGAAATTATCGTGCTTGTTTTGTGTTAGCCGTGGCGAGCACCTCAGTTCCATCCTAATTGAAGTGGTGGGCACAGTTAATAACGTATGCAAACACGAGAGACAAAGAGTCACGTTCAGAAGAAGAAGAAGAAGCGATCACTGGAACAAGAGGTTTACTTTCCTGACGTTTCGGATTCCGTCGGGAATCCTTACTCATAGGTAATAGTAGAACAGTCTGAGACATGCGCAGATAAGGGGTGATACATGCACAGATTACACGGTATTTATAGTTCACAGCGGTCATTCACATGCGTTCTGTAATTGTCCGTTCCTTTAGTCACCGTTGTGCCTTGAGGCTCGTACTTGAGTGATCGCGGGCAGTCGCTTAGCGACTTCTGACGTATGATGGAATTGCTTTGTGTTGAGATACTACTCACCCACACTAGTTTACTGTTAGAGCACTTGCATTCCTCCTCCTCACAAAGCACCTTATTTTTGTTATGTGTGTGTGTGTGTAGTCAACACGCTGTTGTTTTACCTCCCATTTTAGGGCACTCTGCCACGAATGCAACGCCAAGGAGAAAGCCAACAGCTCCGGGCGGCTGCTTTGTTTCAAGTGTCATTCCTATGTCGAGGAGGGACAACAGCTGAAGTACCGTTCAGAAATCTACCACGCCTACCATTTCACATGTTCTTCGTGTGGTTCAGAGCTGAGCTCCGATGCTCGCGAAAAGGACGGAGATCTGTACTGTCTGCGCTGTCATGACAAAATGGGAATTCCAATTTGTGGAGCGTGCAGGTAGAAGAACACTCAACCTACCCTCTGTCCAGTCTTATAAAACCGTCTACTTTTAATTCCAGTCATCTTTTGTTTCCCCGCATAGTTTTATCTCCTTTGGTTGCTCCTTAGGTATTCTTTCTCAGGTCTCGCGTTCAGCTGATCCTTTCTACGTACCTTGTACTTAATAATTTGTTTACTTTTAAAAGTCAGTCTATGGCAAACATATGTTTTCAGCAACTCGTCATCAGGCCAAACATCAAGTCGATACCAATAAAGCCTTTCAGGTTGTCTACCAGACACCAGCTAACTTT